TAAAATATTTTATACAAATTTAAGATTTTGAATCTAAATTTGGTCGATAAATTGTATAGAAATTTAAGTAGATTTTTAGTGTATTTTTAAGAAATGCTTTTTTAATAAAATTTATATTTATTATGAAATTAACTGATATTTAATAAGTGTATTTAATTTATTTCCCAAGCTGAGTTAAAGAACAAATTTCAATCTGGCTTTTGTTGACTCTCAAATCTCGGCTGCACTGGAGGGCATTCGTGCTGTTTGTGCAGTGGCAGCACGTCCCAACCGACATCGACAAGCTGCACTGAGCGAAAATATCAGTTAGAGGGGCCGGGCTGAAAGGGGAGCACTCAAAATGGGCACTTTCGGTCGCAATAACCACGACATTTACGATTATTTTACGGCCACTAAAAATCAAAAGTGTAATTTACGGAACCAAACCAAACTGAACCGAGACGAACAATGAGACGGCGGCGACAGGGATAGCATGACGACCAGCGAAAGAGATGGCAACTGTCGACGGAGGAGCGATGGAATCGGTGTAGCTGTATCGGTGTTGCATCAGCTTAGATGATGTTGAATCCAGGAATATCGAGGGGGAGCAGGATTTCGGGGCGGTGCAAAGGTCAGTGTGGCGTGGGTGGTGCTCGATGGCTGCCTGGTGGGGGGCACCAAAACAAAGGCACTTCATAGATACTTCCTGTATCGTGAACTGTGGGAAGTATTACTATAGATAATATATTTCTTTAATATATATTTTCAATTAATTATTAATTTTAGGATTTTTTTAAATATATTCCGAACTGACATTCAACTTAGAGGTCATAAAAGAAAAAATAGAAATCTTATCATTGATTCTTATCACGTATCGTTATTTTAAGTTAATAATCACCATAAAATATTCATCTTAACAAGGTATAATTATAGATTCTAAAGTTTGTTAAAGAAGTATCTAAAATATGTGATTAGACATTTTTGTTTTTCTTTTTTCAGTATTTTTGCTAAATGGTTTATTTCTGAAAGAGAACAATTTAGTTTTCTCTTATTTTAATAAAGTTTGATCCTTCTTGCTTAATTAGTTAAATATTTTAAAAATATATATTTTCTATATTTTAATCCACCATGCACATTCTTTAAGCCCTGAAGATGGTTTCGAGTTTCCAATGAAGTGTGCTGAGGCAGAGAGGAAATACCGTGAAGAAAACCAGTTGATTCCTAACTGGATGGACATTGCCGGCAGCCAAATGAAAAGCGGTCTTTGCCTTCTTCGGTTCCTTTCTCTGCACTTGCTGGCTGGCTCTGTCTCTGTTATGGCTTGGATCTTCTTTTATTTTTCTGGCCATCACATGTGTGCAACTCGAAGCCAAACAACTCCAGTTCTTAAACCCCCCTTGGCCCACTTCTCCTGATTGCGATTGGTGTTCTGTTTTAGCCGTTTTAGCGGATGGCGATGGCTGGCTGGATGGCTGGCTGGCTGGCTGCTGCGCTTGTCGAAAGCGCATCGCGTTGAAAGATGATTTTCATGTTTTCCCCAGCCAAACGTCTTACAGAGTTCCCCTCCTTCCCCCACAGTTTTGAGCCGGAATCGTGGCCCTAACGATGCTCAAAGTAATTTTGTTGTCTTAACCGCGTTTACTGACATCTTGATGCTTTGATTGCTCCGATTTTGAATGGAATCGTTTGGTCCGCAACACCCGCACTTGGCTTTATGCCCCATTGCCATTATCGTCTCTGGCAAGTCGGGGAAATTGAATTGAAGTCTTTGATTGGCAATATGCTCCGTTGACCCCTTAACAAGTTGCCAGTCGATCGTTAAAACCAGAGCGGGAAAATGCACAAAGAGGCAATATAAAGAAAAACACGGGAATGTCGGTTCTAAAATTGGCCAATTTAATTGGAAAAAGTAATATACTAGTTGGGAGGAAAGTGATTGAGTCTTTTAAGGTTTATATTCTTTAATAAATAACTAACAAAGATAGCCAACTATTTTTAAGCCTTTAAATTTTAAAGTGGAAAATACTTTCATAAAGTAATAGTAAAGGTTTTTTATATTTTTGAATAAAAACTAATGTTTAAATAAGCTTTTTTGCCTAAACGATGGGAAAATGTTTTTAATATTTCTTAAAAATAACTCAATTTCACATAAATATCCCAACCAAAAAAAAGGTTTCTTTTTGATTCTAAAGAAGAAAAATGGAAAAAAAAGTACAGAAAATGATAGCCCTGTACAGTAGTGACAGCACAAACTCTGTTAGCTCTGTTAATTTCGAGAAAAATAAATATTTATTTTAATTTTATCGTAAATATTCCTCCCATTTATTATTTTACAGCCCAATAAGTACATATTTACCAAACATGATATTTTTTAGGCCTCTTGCCATCTCCTAAAATTTTAATTTTTTTTCCTAACATTTAAAACTTTAACATTCTCGAATGTTACGTAACATGGAACAACTTCAAAGGAGTAACAGTGGCTCTAAAACTAGACAGGCACACTGATTCTCAAACTTTGAATGACATAACCCATAGATGGCGCAAGCATGCAGTGTTGCCATCTAGCGAAAAAAACCAGCAGCTCCATCCTGGTTTGCCGTTAATTTTTGAAAAGGAGTTATTGGTTTTCTTTTTTTTTAATTAAATAAATATTAACACTGATTCCAATTTTGGGCTGTTTTAAATATTTTTTCTTCTTTTCCTCTGCTTATTTCTTGCCAAGAAATTTTTTCGGTTTTTGGTCTTCTACTGAGAAATCGCTCATCCGCCCCTTCAAGCGACGTCTGCGCCGCAGCGAGTGCAAACTGGAAATGTGGCGCGGTGGTTGAACGAGCCAGAAAAAATCCAGCATTTCATCACCACCACCAGCATAAAAATGGGCTTGGCCTTTGCGTTTGAGTGAGTATTTCGAGGCGCTCGTTCTCCTCCTCAATTCTTCATCCATAATGCTCCTCTACTCCTGTCTCTCTTTTTTATATTTTTCTGGGTGATAGCCCGTCGGCTCTAAAAGTATGAACTCCATGAAGAAATGGTACGTTTTTCTTGTAATATTATTGGTGTTAATAATATTATTATTTCTTACATAAAATCTTTTAGTTAATTTGTTTTTTTTCTTTTTCTAAGAAAACTTTAAGAAAGTTTTGCATCTCCGCTGAAAGGCAAAGTTAGATCTACCTAATGTTAGTCAAGACTGGATAGAAATTGTTTGATATTCTATAATTCATATCCATATCTATTTGTATAACGAAATTTTATATCCCATTCCACTTTTATTCTTAACTTTTTAAGGTATTTCTTTATTTTCTTAAGAAGAAACCAAAAAAACAAACTCTTACTTCAAAGTCCATTGTTTTGGTGAAAGACTTTTCCACTTTAAAAACGATGTATTAAAATATGTTTTATATTTGGACAAATAAAGCCGAAAAACATTCAAAAAATGACAACAAAATGAAACCAATAAGATAAGTCCTAGGTTGCATACTCGCTTTCCACTTTTCTTACATTTAACTTGCAATCCAAAGCCGCTCTTGACCTCTGATCAAAATAAAATAAGTAACTAAATGCTTACGTGAACTGAAAACTATTCCAGAGTAATTGGCAGATGTTGCGCTTGAGTATTCATCACATTCGTTGCCGTCGTGGTGTTGCAACTTCCACTTCAGGTTTGCGGCACAACCTAATTGAATTCATAGAGCGTGTTGGCACACCCGTACAGTGAACACCGGTAGATGGGAACGGTAGCTGCCTGACGACTCCATAAAATGAGAATTATGAGTGAGACATACTCCTTGGCTATGGTTTGAAAACCGTTTTATTTGAATTTAATTCAAAGTGTTTCTAATTTCGCTCGAGGCATTGATAATGTCGCAGGAATAAAGTCGTCAGCCGGGAATGGACCGTGGAGTAATTTCATTTCACGCTGCCTCAAATGAAGTGCGCAATTCTGACAGCCGGAGAGAGAGAGATGGGGAGGAAGCATATAGAAACGCTCGACCTTGCCACCATCGAAGTTGGCTGCCCATTGTTGGCCCGGTTGAATCAAGTTTCTCAGTACAAATTTGTACAATTTCATATTTGCCCAGCACCACAAAACGACGCCAGACAATGGGAAACTGCTTAAAGATAGCTGCCGGGGCACAAAGCACCCCAGGAGCGTCTCGTGGTGATTATGGACTCGGGTTGAAAGTCGGGTTGAAAGTAAAAAAAAAAAAAAGGGCAGATAAGTTATTGTTTCGCCGGGCGAGGAGCAACCCCTGCAAAGGGATTCGTAAAAATAGGACAAGATATAGATACACTCTCATACTCACATACAGACTTATTCATCTGCCCGGAGGGTGCGTCGTAAAAATGAGTTACGAGTCCTGCCATTTTAAATTAAAATAGCAGGCAGCCTCCATTGTGGCAGCAAGATAGAGGCCAGAGATGGCAGAGCTGGCAGAGGCAAAAGGAAAAAAGGTCAAAGGCCACACATTTCCAACCCTGAAAATCCAATCCAGCGGACAAAATGGTCATGTTGACAGAAGTAAATCTCTTGAATTATCGCATTAGATGCCGCATTCTCACAGATACGATTCTCTCGGCCCGATGAAGCCATGTCGTAAATAATCGAGATCGGAACGTCGCCGGGGCATTATAAAGGATTTTCGGGCAGCCCTGTTGATTTAAGCATTCTTCCTGTGTTTGCTTAGCATTCGAAAAGGGTTCAAGATTATTGCCACCCTAGAGTCGAAGTTTAGAAATGCCCCCAAAATTGATCGAGATTTTCAGTTTTAAACTCATTTGGATGGAAGTTTAATGGGAGTTATAGATATTAACTTGTTTATTTACGTTTCTATTAAGTTATTTTTTAAGGAAAATAACTCATTAAACATTTTGTTAAGTCTAAGAACAAGTCACAACAATCTCTCAATCAACAAACAGTATCTAAAGCTTGATTGTTCTTAGAACTCTCCTTATATTCCAGCTACTTTACTAGAGAGTTTATCAATAAACATTGCTTTTTAAGAAAATGACAAGTAATCTTCAGCTTAATGCATATTTTATTACCTTTACAACATTAATAATATTTTGGAGATGGCTTTGAAGAACAGAAATCACAAATTACCTAAAGATTTCAGGAAGCAATATCCTAAAACTTTAGATTCAGATTCAGGATATATTCCTAAAATTTTTAGATAATTTATAAGACATCTGAAAATCCTTTTCAATCCTCCAACGAATGGAATATTCCCACCGAACCCACTTTTCACTGAACCACAGTAATGGTAAAATACTCCTCAGGAGCCACCAGATACTCAAACTTGCGAGTGGCCAGGCGCATGAAGCACAGCTTGTTGGTGGGGTCAATGTCACGGACTACACTCTGGCAGGTGTTCACCAGGTAACCATTCAGATGCTTCACGATCGCCTGGGCACTTGTGTTATCGAAGGACGTCTCGGCCACTGCATTGGCCATATTATCGGAGACCACATAGCCCAGCGTATGCTCCGATATAATCCGCTCCACGATGTTTCCATTCTGATGGATCACCTGCTCCAGAATGCGATTCATTGTTTGTCGTGTTTTTTGGGTAGTGAGTAAATTTGTTATATGTTTTGCGACTGGGAGTGGGGTTGACTGGTCTGAGTGATGTGTGAGGGAGTATTGAAGGTATTTTCAGAGGAGAGACTGTAAATCTGACATTTTACTTGATTTTTGTGGAAGAGAGTTCTTGGATCCTTGAAGATTACAAGGAACTTGAACAGAAGTGTAGGTTTTAGGCTCTTTTTACCCGAACACAGCCAAAGTTTCTATCGTTTTCTTACAATTTAAATTTAATATAAAACCATGTTCTTAGCTGAGTCTTCGTTGGGCAGCAGAAAATCTTTAATTTAAGATAACATTTTTTAACCATACTAATAGGCACCCCTATAAAAGGTACTTACGACCTCTCCCACTTCCCATTTACCCACTTTTAATACAAAAAAACCACCATGTTCGATATTTTCATATTGGATTTATAATTATAATTACAGCACACGCCTATCGCGTTGATTAAATAAGTGTTGGTCTCCTCGCCAACAGCTGGCAATGGGTTCGATTTTGGAATAAATTAAAAACTTATCGGAGTTTCCTTATCTCGCAGCGGCCTTTGATCCCCACTCCCCCACGGATTGCCCTGGAATGCCATTGAACTTGCCCTCCAATTGGAGGCTGAGCAGCAGCAGCAGTCCCGACGAGGTCAGTTCGAATTACTGCTGCTGATATTCCCGCCCAAGTTCAAGTGGTCGCGTGGCGGCATCTCCTCTGCCTGCCCACAGGCAACCTCCTCATCAAGCCGTTTTCATTTAATTTTCATGCACATTTAATGGCGTCTGTTATTGGCTTTTAACGAGATTTCCACTCCAACCCCCCAGCCAGTGTGTATTTTTAGGTATCCGTATAATTGACTTTTTGACTTTGAACCGCTTTGTCGTGGCAGGTCGTTGACTCTCTTTCGCTCTTTCGCCGGCGACTTAAACTAATTCCAATTGCTGGCTTAGCCTAAAGCCCCCTTGGAAAGCCATTTATTCGACGGCCATAAATCAGAGCTGGCGGAGTTGCAAATACTGAATACTGGCGGGTGTTTAGTATTTAGTACAACACTCTCATCTGTATTCAGAGTCCCTCCTGGCCATCGCCATCTCTCCTGTTCTGGGTGGAGAAGTGCTTGTCGGACAAGTCCAGAGAGTGCATATGGGAGTGCATGTCCCGCGTCTGGTACCCCAGATCTCTCCCAGATCGACCCAAAATGGCCACTCGAGCGCCCACAACGGCCATAAAACACTTTCGGACATGTTGTTGGCCCAACAAACAACTCTCAACTCTGCTCTGGTCCGTTCTTTTCCTGTCCTGGTCCTGGTCCTGTTTCTGGTCAATAAAATGTGCATAAATTCCGATGCCATTCAACGGCAACCCGAAACTGCCCGCTGCTCCTCGACGGCCAGGAGAAGGCTTTGCATTTAACGGGTCAACCTATGGAAGTACAGTGGGAAAAGTTGATTTATTGCCGGTCTTATTATGAACTTTTTCAGCATTTTTAAAAGACTTTGGATTACAGATATCTATTTAAAAAGGTTTTTAAAAATATTAACTACAGAAGCACTGATTTCTGATCAAGATTTTCTTGATTCTTGCAAACTTTGGTTTATAAAATCATTAACTGATAAATTTATTTTACTTTAAGTTTAAACCCTACCCATAACCCCCATCCCATTGTAAAAATTTAAATTTTTAGACCCGCTTTTACCAAATCCACTGCCCCTTTTAGCCATGATTCATGGCCGCCAAATGCAAAACGAGAGATTTGTGGCCGGGAAAATGAATTGTGTCCAACTTCGGGGCTCGGTGCCATATCAAACTATGCAAAATGCCAGCTCATAAATCCCCTGAGCCCAAGTCGGACTATTTCCCTATCTCTCTGCCTAGATTATGGTTTGGGTTTCGGCTTTTGGGCCTAAGGGGGCGGGATTAGGCGGCCAGCGCTTATCCGAAAGCGAGATACTCGGCGTTATGCCGGTGCCATAACTCATTTAATTAGATGGATATCGCTGTTTAGGCATAATTCAGCCACCAATAGAAGAAACGTTCCCAACCCCCGCGCGAATTGCAAAGAGGTCAAAAGGTCGAGCGGCATTCAAAAACCATAAATAACATCAAAACAAAAAAAACAGAAAAATGTAATGGAAAATTCCTTCGTTAATTAGAAAAACCAACAGAAGACCAACTGGCAAACTGAAATTAAAAAGCAAACTGGAAAAGAGAAGAAGACATGGGACATAGTCGAGGCAATTTGGAAACACTTTCCCAGTCTTTCCCTCTGCGTTCTGAAAATGCAAATGAGCTGCTCTCGAGCTGGATTTTGAGGCCTTTTTCCAAGTCCGGTCATTGGCCGGCTGGTCAGTTCTGGAACGGTGTTTCGGGTTTTTTCAGCGCCCTCTCTGTTTTGGCCCTTTCATTTGTGCCACTCGACCGGCGAAAGGGACACGTCGCCCCACTCACACACATGGCACAAATTGGCCCGAGGGCCTTTGCCTTTTGCCCAACTGGCCCACATATCCTTCTGCTACCCTGTCTTCAACCCCTCTCCTACCCAGAAGGCCCACTGACACACTTCCCCCGTTTCACATATCATCAGCATCTGAATCCCAGTTTTGATTACGGACTACTCCGAAGCTCCCATAAATAATGTGCCACATCCTCGTACATATCCTATATACATTGTACATGCCGGACGACTCACCTCAACGCGTTCTGAATTTTTAATGTGCCCAAAATGGAGAACAGTCCTCGAGAGTTGTGTTTGATATGTAGCAAGTCCTTAGGGTGGAAATCGGACGGCAGGATAAGTTATTTTCTGTGTGAGTGCTCTGTAATTGAAAATTAAATGGAAAGTGTTAAATGGGCGGGGGATAAGTTAAGATAGGCGGCTAAAAGGATTTGGGGGTTATTGTTAGTGAACTAAAATCACATTTTGAGAAGTATTTATAGGTAATTTGGAAGAACTTTGTAAATAATTTACTTAACTTTAAGACTCTAAGATCAACGTTGAAAGGGAAAACCAAAAAGTGCTTAAGTTTTCCTGAAGATTTGCTGGAGTTACAAACTAGGTTACGTAGAGAAAGGCCGACTGTATCCTATAAATGGTACTTTTTAAGCTTTTTAGCTCTCTAACAAACTCAGCTAACTTATTAAACCACCCACTCCTATACCAAACCCCAAAAATAATAAAGGATTACTCATTAACACATGATTTCATTATTTTTTAACGACAAATTGTCGAATTTGCAAGCCGCAGAAGACAATAAAAACTGTGAAAATATTGCAGCCCCAAATTCGTAATCCCATTGACAAATGGCATTATTTGCTCTTCGAATTTATGTTATGGACTTCTAAATAACAACCAATTTAAGGTATTTATCTTTAAGAAGCGTAATTTCGTATGCTAATTCCCATTGGCAGTTGGCTGGCTAATTTATGAAAGCGGCCAAGCGATCTGGTTTCGACCAGCAGAAAAAAAGGAAGAAAAACAACAACACTGAACAATGCAAATTTTTATTAGCCATGAAGTCGGCCATAAAAGCCATTTGGAACCGCTTGAAATCGTTGCTCTCCTCTCGGCTGAAGTACAAATTGTTAGAAGAGGTGCAAAACGGCGCGATTAAACATATCTCACTGGCTAATTTTAATAACTTCATGAGACTTGTTTTTAGCTCAAGTAAATTATTAAAAATTCTGCCTAAAAAACAAACAAAATATTGAATATCAAATTTCTGTTGATACAGATCTTAGAAGTCGAAGCGAAAACGCTTGCCAAAACAAAGGAATTGAATAAATTTAGTTTTATGAACCCAAGCAGAAGGTGGGAGATGCCTGGAAAGAATTACATTGAGTCGACAACAAAGAGGCTGCCTCACACACAAAGCCCATTGAGAAGATAAATTTCTTAATTTAAATTCAGAGTTTTGTTTGTTTCCACCCTCGAGCGATTTTCATTTCCGTTACAAATGCTTTTCAATTTCGCCCGAGCCAAATTCAATTTTCAAACGTTTTATTTCGACAACGTTTTTGATTTAGTCCCCAGCCCCGGCCCTGGCTCTTGCTCTGGCTCTGGCTTTGAATATTTTACCAATTGGTTGATCGAAATTGAGTTTTGGGCCACCATTTTTGGTTGCTGTTTGGTTGCTTGCTTTTGTGTAACTATGGAATATTTATTATTTAAATTTTCCCGACTGCCAACTCTGCCGGCGGCTGCACTAAATCATGCGACACACAGGCTCATTCAAAACAGCCAACCAACACTCGCATGTTGTGTTATTTTTTCGACGCATGATTTAGGTGCAGTCATAAATTCAATTTTAAGCTTTTTGGTATTTCATTTCGGTCCGTCTGCTTCGGGGAGATCTGGTTTTTGGCTGGGGCTTGGTAAGGGGTTAGGGGTTAGGGGCTTGGGTTCGGGATCGGGTCCCGAGGCCAAGATAAACACTTGACAACGTGCTAAGGCTGGCACTGGCAACGCGATAAGCGCATAAATAAAGCCCCCCGTAATAAATTCAGCGTCACATTTGACGCCCCGCCATGGTCTACTCTTTTGCTGAGGACGGAGGGCAGCTTTCGGGAGGGGGGTTAGTGACACTTGGTCCTCCAGAGCCACTCACGACCTCTTGGCTTAACTGTACCATGCATCATCCGTGGCAAGCTCTTGTGAAGCTCTTCTCCTCGTCTTTTTTGTAGAAAGACAACTTCTGGGGACTTTTATATGGTGTTTTAGGATGTTCCTTGACTATTTATGGGAAAAGGTCATGACTATTATCGTATTTCTTGGTTATTATATAGTTAATGTGGTTGTATATTAGGTGATTAAACAAAATATATATTTATTATAGTGCAGGGGAATCTGCTATAAGGTATAAGTTACCAATTTCAGCAGAAATAATATCCGTAAATAGTTCTAAAATATTCCTCAACTCTCTCAAGGAGTTACCAAATCTCTCCCAAAGAAGCCACACCCTTCCGATTTTCCTTTTAAAAACTCACAACCGAAAAAAAGATCCGCCAGCTGGTCAGCTGTTGTCCGAGAGCCTTAACCATGTCATAATTGCCCGACAGGACGACGGGAAATCTATGACATCTGCGTCGTTGGAGAAAC